TAGTGGAAGACCTTCTGGAACTGCTACCACGATGATGGTAACAGCAACGATAAGGATATCCATAAACGCTGAACCCTTCTGAGATGCAGATCGGGTATCACCAGATAGCCCACCAACAAAACGGAAGAGAAGGACAAAGAAGAGGAGACCAGCAGCTGCAGTTCCGAGGTAAGCGATAGCCATGGCAAGCTTAGCGAGCTTCGCCTGTAGTGGTGTCTCCTCGATCTCGACGCGGACAGACATCATGATACGGCCAAAACTGCTGTTCTCTCCGACAGATGTCGCCATGAAGGTACCGACGCCCTCGAGAACCTTTGCGCCGGAGATGACGAAGGGGTCAAGGCCCTTGGTGGACTGACCAGACTCCAGTGCCTTCATGACGGCGGCGCCTGGTGTCTTGCGCATGGCGTCCGATTCTCCCGTAGCAGAAGACTCGTCGCACTTGACGTCGGAGCCATCCACAAAGATTCCGTCGACTGGAATGACATCGCCAGGCTCCAGGTGTATAATGTCGCCGGCTAGGACGTCGTAGATGCTGATCATAGCGGTCTTTCCCGATCGTGTGACTTTGATGTCGCGTTGTTCCTTCTTCGCATTGAGCTTTGCGAATGCCGCTTCTTTCTGCCAGTCATTCACGGCGGTGACGAGTACAACGATGACGATGGCTACAACAATTGCGCAACCCTCGACCCAGTCGACAGGTGTGGGAGATCCTGGTGGATGTTCCGCACCAAACGTTTCGTAGAGTCCAAGTGCAAGCGAGATGGCCGCTGCAACAGTAAGAACAATAAGTACAGTGTCATTGTACGCGTTCCAGACAAGTCTCCATAAAGGGGTGACCTTCTTCGGTGGTAGTACATTCCGTCCGTGTATGCGTATGCGATCCTCGAAGGGCTTTCCGTCACTTGGCGGTCGACTTGACTCTTTCTCCTTCGTAGGTGTCTGTGGGTTTGTTGCTTCGTCGAAGGAAATGTGCCTCGCAACTGTCGATTCGTCGGCACTCAGACCGGAGTGAGTGTCGGATTGTAGTCCGGCTGCGATACCGTGGATGCCTCCCAATGCTTGATATACAGGAAGCGATTTGGGGTTCAACAGCTTGCTGAGCTGTGATGGTGTGAAAGCAAAAGGGTTGTTCGTGTCGGCTTTAGCTTCAGCGCGCAACTCATTTTGCAACGCTGCATCGTAGTCTCCTACTACCGTCGATGCACCACTTGTGGACGCATTGCTTGGTGATATTGGTGTCCGGAAGGGGTCTGATGTTTGTGATGTGACCGTGTCTGCCTGACTCAGAGCACGCTGTCGCGTGTTGATTTGGAGTGTCGGAGGGGCAAGTTTGCCGGACTCCATATTTGAAGTATGAAAGTGATGATGCAAATGGAATGCTGGAAAGATGCAGTTGATGATCGTACTTCAAAGAAATAGAAACTATGTGATAACAGTATAAGAGCTGGATTGTAACAAGGCGGAGGACGGAAGCCTCTCAAGCTGCCATATACTCTTTCAAGGTTGAAGCGGGCTGTGTAAGTGTGGGCCACCCCCAAGACTGCCAGGCGCTTGGTGCGCGATATTGGTCTACCTGATGTGATACGTACTCCGCCAGAGCCTCGCTTGGCACCTAGTAGCCTCCTGAGGAACGATCATTCCGCGGCGTTTTTTTGCCTTCGCGGCCCAGGTGACATCTACACATCGAACACTTGGTAGAATGACCGAGAACTCAGCCTTCTTCCTACGTCGCATCGATGGTTGAGCTGTAGACTTGTCGCCAAGGAGGCGAGATTTGATGCTTTTGGCCACTAACGGCGTTCATAGCGAGATGAGCGGCTGTCAAGAAGTCCGGTGGTCTTGGAAGGGGGCAGTGCAAACCCCATCCGAGCGCAATGAAGCGCGGAGGCCCTCAGCGTCCGCTTCCATCGCATCGCTATGGACGACAGCACAAAGACTGTTGAAACAGAAACAAGGTGAAAAGAAGGAACAAGCGATAGTCTGAAGTCACGATTGAGTGTCGCTTCGATGTCCAACGTGCAGATCAGGACGAGGCTAGCAGGGCTTAACCTGCGCCACGGTAGCGCCACTGAGGCTTTGCTCGTCGCTTAGCCATCTTTGGTTTAGCTTACTCGACTCTCAGCTGCTCCAGCCTACCTATATAACATCTCTGCCTGGGGCTATCATCAAGAGTTCAGGTATTCAGCCTTCTGCTCGTGTTGCTTGGAGGTGACAAAGACGTAGATGCATCGAACCGTCAATAACCTTCCCGAAACCTCGCCACCCATGGGCACCTTGAACAAGAACCCCGATAGCATGATCGATCAGGCCGATGGAACTCTGCATCGCACATCGCCGTCTGAATCTCTTGAACATGCTTTGGAAGGTCTCATCCGTGGGCATATGCCCGATGAAACTTCCATGTCTCCGTCGAGACATGCTTTACCGCCTGAGGCTAACTTGACATGGCATCCAATCACAATTGACCAACTGCGCTCATCAGATTCTGCCTTGTCTTGGAAAGCGCCTGTTCGGTCTTATGTCGTGCGCATCTCGTCACACCCTCCCGCTCAGTAATCTCAGCGGGGCAAGAATGACAGCAACGATGAGAGTCGTGTTCTGGGCGTGCGCATCAGGGTGGCCGTCATCGAAGCTAGAAGAGCATTATGGCTGAACCTGTGGCGCAGTCGCTGTGGCGCATTATCTTCGAACACGGGGCTGCCGAGGTTCGACTCATTGGGATCTGGCGACTGCTTTTCGCGAGGAAATTGTCAATCTAGATGGTCGGAGGCGAAGTAGAAAGGAGACGCAAGGATACACCCGAGGAGGTTGGGACATGTCATCAAAGGGGAGAGAGATGATGTCATACGTGGGTGCACCGACTATTTGCCGCTTGCGACCTGGCAGCTGGGAGCTCGTCCTCGCGCATGCCTGATTTCAAGTTTGATTGCGGAAGCCTGGACGGCTATGCTTTGCACTGCGCCCATCTCGCCTTGTCAAGGCTGCAACATCAACAAAAGACCTTCAGATTATACGACAAAGAGTTTTGGTTTCCGACCGCCCGGATCTCAAAGCATCGTCTCGGCGGATGTCCATTTCACGCCTCCAGTAATCCCTTGTGAAGAATGAACTCGGGATCCACCGCAGGGGCCTTGATATACGGCATGTATCTCGTCTGCTCCAGATGCACGCTTCCATATCGCAGTAGCCCTGCCAACGTACCAGGTGCAGCATCTACACCCTCATTTTCCGGAAGGTCCAGCAACGTGCCAATATGAATCGTTTCGCCCAGCCCTTTGCCATGGGTGATCTTCTGCATCACGCTCTGCGTCAACATACCCCACGTGGCCTTCTTCGCCTTCTCGTATACCGCATCGGACTCGTCAGCATCCACGCTCATGGCCAAAAGCTTCAAAAAGTCTGCGCTAATATCGAAGCCAAGGGTGTGCTCAGCAGGAAAGTCCTCAGATAGCGCATGCCACAGCAAGACCTTCTCAGCCCAGTAGGTGACGCCATCGAAACCGCCGTTGGGTTCTTGCAGCCACGTCAAGCGTATCCAGGCGAGGCACTGCCCAATGTAACCGATGAGAGTCTGCTCGTCGACTTTCCACTCCCATTTAAATCCGGAGTCTTGAAGATCTTTGCTATTCATCTGCTTGATGAAGCTGATGAGAGGCGACTGCACCACGCCAGTAAAGTCGGTACGTCCCTTCCAGAGCTCCAGGAAGATCAGGTGCCTGTTCACAGTCAGTCTGATGAATCATGGCTGAGTGGGTATAACGCGCCAGTTCTTGATGAACTCGTCGCCTTTTCGAGAGGCGACGACATGATTCGCCATGAACTGCCCATACACCAGTGGCGCAGCGACTGTAAACGGGCTGTCGTCGTCCCCAAGCTGGTCCCAGCAGACTTTGTCGAGGTTGCGGAACACGATGCATCCGACGTCCATCCAAACACCACCATACGTGTACAGTGCTGCGCCACGCAGGAAGTCGGCGCTATGAGGACCTACGTATGGCCCCGTCATCGTACCCTTTACGAAGGTCTCTGGAAGAAGGTCGGTCGATATCCAAGTCAACGCGTGATTTGGCGAGTCTGGTACCGTGTCGAGCACGCGAATCGTCCACTCAGGGCCGTGAAGTCGCACCCAGTTGATGATGTTGCGCTGTGTCCATGTTGGCATCTGCTGTACGCCGGCATGCCAGAACGTCCAAATGTTCTTCTCAGACGTGATGGGTGCATGCTTCGTCAAGGAATCCAGAATCTCGGCATCGGTACGGCTGTCTTTCGACTCCACATATTTCAGCTGTGACTGGTACTTTTCTGGGATCTTGTACGTGGATTCCGCCATGATGCACGTGGAAAGAGGGTCGATGATGCACGTGATGATGCAGTCACCTAGGTATCCAATGCAGCCAAAGGACACTGTATACTTCGTTACGCGACTAGTGGGAGCTAAGGCACGCTTTTATATGGCTCTGAGGGTAGTGATCGGTCAATTGAGCTGCACAGCTCATCCATGCGTTGTGTTTCATTCACGGATTTAACCGCGAACACAGCATGATAGGAAGCAGGGTAAAGTGCAAACATGCATTTATCTCGCGCGCAACGTCGCTCCAGAGCATGACGAATCTGCCAATAGTTCCACAGAAGGGAGTTTGGTCCGAGATAAGCGCCAAGAGTAATGTCGTGTAACGGGTTCGACGTTGGTCGTTCGCCATGATCGTCAGCTCGTCATACTCCTTCTGTGTATGACTGCATTCCAGTAATCTTCGTCCTGCAGCTCTCATGGGCAGACAAGGGGTCATTGTCAGGGTATGTAGAGTACTATGGCCGTGGATAAGTCGTGATTGCTGGACATCAGCGGCTTCCTGACCTACATGCGACAAGGTACGAGTAAAGTCACACCACTTATGCGACGGCTACTGCCAATCGTAGGAGTCTTCTCAATGTACCTATCATGGTAATATGCACACAACAGCTTTATCGTACATCTCAACCTTCCACCGTTTCCAACCCTACTCCCTCAACCTCAAGTGGTACGTCTCCAACTGCTCCTCCGTCATACGATTCGGACTCTTAACCAGCTGATCCTCTCCTCTCCCACTCTTCGGGAAGGCAATGACATCCCTCACGCTATCCCTGCCGCACATAACAGCCATCAACCGATCCCATCCCAGTGCGATACCCGCATGCGGCGGGCAGCCGCTCCTCAACACATCAAGCAGATGTCTGAAGTCCTCTACGCGTTCGGGCTTCATCTTGAGAATGTCTTTGAAGATGAATTCCTGCATAGCGGCGGAGTGGATACGGCGACTGCCGCCGCCGAGCTCGACGCCGTTGACCACAATGTCGTAGTGCGCTGCTACCGCAGATGAAGGCGAAGTAAGTAGCAGGTCGACGTCTTCGGGTGTCTTCGGAGCGGTGAACGGGTGGTGCGTTGATGAGAAGCCAGCTGAGCCACCTTGGCCCGGTTCGCTGTCGCTCGACGGGGTGAACAATGGGAAGTCTGTGATCCAGACGAACTTGGTACTTTTAGGTGCTTCAATCAGTCCCTTTGCCATGGCTGCTTTGTGGAGAGCAAGACGCAAGTTTCCCAGCATGGTTGAGCCGCCCGAGAAGGGCGCATTGGGCCGTGCCTGGAGGACAAGAAGGTCGCCGTTTTCCACCGCCAGCGCTCCAGGGCCCTCCATCACGTATTGGTAGCCCAATGGTCCGAGGCCTTGCATGGGCTGAGAAAGGTCACCGATGAAGATACCCGGTTGACCATCGGGGTTGTCGAGGAAGACCTTTCCGTCCGGGCTGTCAAGAAAGTCGGCGACGAACTTGCGGGTCGTTTTAGGGTCATCTGATATGCTTATCTTCATTGCATCGACGGCTGGATCTTGGAGAGAACTGATCTTGCCGATCAAATCGGCTGTCAGGTGTTCCGTAATGGTGTGAATCTGTACTCATTAGCTTGAGGAGACAGCTAGGTCGCGTCAGCTACGCACCTTTGCCTTGAATCTTAGGTCTGGTTTATCAGATCCATATGCAGCCATTGCCTCCTGATAGGTCATTCGCGCAAATTTCCTCTCCTTCTTTATTCCAAGGACTTTGTACCACAGATCTCTCAGTAGAGCTTCTGTCTCGTGCATGACGTCTTCCTCATTAGCGAAAGACATCTCCATATCCAGCTGTTCCAGTTAGTGGAGTCTGCATCAGGTATATGATAGTGCTGACCTGGGTGAATTCTGGCTGCCTGTCGGCCCTCAGGTCCTCATCTCGGAAACACCTAGCAAATTGGTAGTATTTCGTGATGCCCGATGCCATGAGTATCTGCTTGTATTGCTGTGGACTTTGTGGCAGCGCGTATGCAAATCCCTTCTGCCGTGTCGGCACGAGAAACTCTCTTGCGCCTTCAGGAGTCGATTTGAACAGTATAGGCGTTTCGATCTCCTTCCAGTTGTAATGGTTCAAGTGCAGTCTTGCTCTAGCCATGGCTTTCGACCGTTGGAAGAGACCGTCGCGCAATTTCGAGTCTGTGCGAAGCTGTAGATGCCTTTGGTCTGGGCCAAATACAGTGTCATCTTTAATGATGATATCATCCGATATGTTGTTCAATGGCTGGACGTGCTCCACAGCGATCTCTCGGGTACCGAGCAGGTTCATACCCGCGAATGTGTCGGTTTTGGCCCCTTTACGCTCCACTAGCTTTCCTCGGACTATGACGGGAGTCCACTCTTTCAACAACCGCAGTGTCTTATGGGCGTCCGGTCCATCCGCTTCATTGTCTAGAGGTTTAGAGACGAGTTGGACACATACTCCTTGGTTCTTGTGGCGAAGCATCGTGAAAGAGAGTTTGCTGCTAACATCTCGCCGTGCGCTGATATAACCGGAGACCTCAACTTCCGTGCCTGGAGGACTATGAGTGACTTTATTCCATTCATCATTTAGGTCCTTCCATGAGGATGGTCGAACTATGACTTGGTGAGCGAATGCATTTGATATGTCGATGAAGTCATACTGGTGGCCTTGAAATCATCAAGAGTCTTTTGCAGATTTTCATCCTGATTGCGTGTCTGCGAAGTCGCAAAGCCTCGCGTTGCGTGCCCCCAACATAGGCCTGCACGAACCGGCTTGGTCCCGTGATGGGGTGTTCGACAAAACCGCGAAATCTCTGCGTAGGAGCTGCGCAAGCTGTTGTCCCGTTTCAGCACACCTCGTGAGACACGCGCAAGACTCATGGTGTATTGCAGCGAGCGATCGAGCTCTCGCAGGTATCAGCGGGATTACAATATCTCCAACGAGCGCGCAGCCAAATCTCGAAAACACGCCAAGCCCCACCCGCCACTAGCCCCACCCAGGTTAGCGTCCGCCCAGACCATGCTGCAGAAGCTTCAAAAGGTTTCCGGCGCCCACACCCAGTTCCTCTCGCTATCCCTCCAGTTTATAACACGTAAGTCACCCTGCTGTTGCGAATTTCCCTTGCGCCAAAACTAACAAACTCGCCAGATGATGAAAGCCTAGCGTGTATCAGCTGAGCAGCTCTCCTCATCCGCCTTTGAACTCTTCCTTTCGGGGGCTCAAGTGGTTCATTGGTAGATTTGGATGTGGTTGCATGACTTCCGCGTCCGGCACACACACCTTGTTACATAACGGACGCTTTGACGGCATCTCTGATTCAATAAACTGGTCGGTGTCTTATACATACCGCGCACCCCGCACGCGATGCAACGACGACGGCCTCCGCGACGCAATCACGACAGCCTTTGCGGCGCAATGAACACCGCCTTCGCGATCGAGGCGCGCAACGGCGCAATCGCATACTTGGTGGAAAGGGCTGTATATACTAAAGTGGATAGCAATACAATCAAGTTCCCCATGTTGCGCATGACATGTGAGTACCGGATACGTGATGTTGGAAGTGAGGATGAGCTCTTGAGGACCTGCGTTCAGCGCGAGGTACTCAACGACATCATCGCCGCAATTACTGCGAGTGGAGAAGTAGACCATCTTCTATCAACTCTCCTCAGTCGGCGAAAGAGTAACGCTTTGTCAATTACCCCTCCACCAATACTCTATGGGAAGAGGGGCGTAAAACACTTGCGACATACCCGTGCAATTGTGATTTCGGTAGAAGCCATCAGTAGAGGGGCCTTGCGTCTCGGTGTACCTTTGGACTGTGCAATGTCTGCTGGTTGACTGTTCGAAGGTCGATCGACCGCTCGTACCTGATGATACTATCCACCTTTGCACGGCCTAGACCATGTCTCCGGTCGAGCAGACATCAAGGGCATTCGCGGTCTACGTGGTGGCGTAGCGAGGCTTGATCGAACGCATGTTCCGGAACCGAAAGGATTTGTTCGTTGGTCGGCGCAATGTAAATGAGGCAATTCATCAAGAGCCGTCGATTGTTGGCTTCGGATCCGAAACCATTGTCCAAAAGGTGACTGGCTCGATGTTCTCGGTTTGCAACGGTAACCGAAAGGATGTGTTCGTTGGTCGGCGCAGTGCGAATGAGGTAGTAGTCGAAAGCCGTCGATTGTAGATTTCGGATCCGAGACACCCTCGCAGTTGTAATCCCTTCGCCATGACTTCGGGTCCGAGACGACGCAAGCATAAGGACATCTACGCAGTCCAAATGCGGCAATTTGTCGAAAGCTGTCGATTGCTACATTCGGATCCGAGCCAAACCAAACTCAAAGATAGGCTTTTATTCAGTCCATATGAGGCGATTTGTCGAAAGGCGTCGATTGCTGGTCTCGGATCCGAAAACGCTGGTTGCGGTATAATGAAGCCAAGGCTTACGCTCCTGCATGTGGTTCGGATCCGAGCCACGTCTGCGCTCTCCAAACGAGGCAGTTTGTCGAGAGCCGTTGAATCCAGCTTTCGGATCCGAGCCAAAGCAAGTCTAGGGGTAGGCGTCCACTCGAGGCAATGTATCGAAAGCCATCGATAGTTGGTTTCGGATCCGAGCCAAATCAAGCACTTTCGGATCCGGGCTAAAACAAGGTTAAAGATAGACGGCTACGCAGTCTACATAAGGCAATTTGCCAGGAACTGTCGAATGCTGCTTTCGGATCCGAGCCAAAGCGGGCTCGGATATGAGCGTCCGGATCCGAGCTCAAGCAAGCTCAAAGATGGGCGTCTACTCGCAATCGGTGTAAGCCACTTACGCCACTAATGGAAACTCAAGGCTCGCTGCAATGTGCACTCAGTGATGTCAAGGCTTGTGTCATTTTGTGAAGAAATAGAAGAGATCCCCTAGGTAGCGAACCATCACCATGCCCAGTCCCTTCCACCAAGCCCGCAACGCGGCGACACCCAGTTACAGCTTCTCACGTATGTGGACAGAAACACACCTGGAGTATGAAATGTGGTAGGAAACAGCATGGCCAATACAAGGCGCTACCGAATATACTCTTCGGCTGCTTGTCATCCTATGCGCTCGGCGAACGGCGCGACCCTGAGCTAGAGCTAGTCGACGAGCCGGTCTATGACTCCGAGCTGCCCGACTCTGCACTCGGTCCATTGCGGTAGCTCGAGTCGGATGTCATCTCGTACGACGACGAGCCGCGGTTGTGGTGGGCGCGAGGCCGATCTTCGGGATGGTTGACGGTGTCGGATCGGTGGCCATCGAGCGTCTGCATATGTACCGGCAGCGGTGCCGCTGGCTTTTCAGTGTGGCCTGTGGAGGTAGAAAGGGTGCCGAAGGAAGGCATCGCTTGACGTTGGGTCATGGTAGGCTGTCTGGTGCCGGATCGCAGCTGCTTCGCAAAGTCATACTCGTCTGTTCCATCGGTCGCCTGACGAGCTGCAGAGGGGTCAGTAGTGTTTTCAGAAGAAGCATGGGAACATACCAGACGTGGCCTCGTAATGGGTAGAGCTTCGACCAGCTCCATGCTCGTGGTAAACTTCGCGGCCATCGTGGTCTGCGCCAGGATTGGCAGTCTCGTATTCGAGCATCTTCATCAGACGGTAGAAGATGCATGCTAAGATAGCGCCGAAGAGGGGTCCAATCCAGTAAATCCAGTGATGTCCAGGCCATACACCGGTGACGACAGCAGGTCCGAAAGAGCGCGCTGGGTTCAGTGAGCCTCCAGTGAAGTATACACCTGTGTTTGTTAGCATTGATGTATTGCAAACTTCGAAGTTGGTACAGACCGGCCAGCTCCGCGATGAAGAGAGCAAGGCCGATGCCGATTGGCGCAACGAACGTCGCCTTGTGCTTCTCTGCCGCCAACATAAAGATAGTCAACAGCAACATGAATGTCAAGAACATCTCGATGAAAAGGCCTCGCGTTACTGAGGTTTCCTTGCTGAGGGTCGTGTTCACGGACAGTGGTCCTGGGAAGAGACCAGATACAATTGCAGCGGCAGTGATGGCTCCAAGAAGTTGCGCAATGATTAGCAGTAGGGCCTTCATCCATCCGAGTGCTCCGATGATACCCATGGCGACCGTGACCTAAGCCTCATCAGCGTGTCAACTTCTGCCAAGGAGCTTGCGTGTACATACAGCAGGGTTGAAGAGGCCGCCACTGATGCGAAAGAAGACCCAAGCCGTGACTGCCAGCGAGAAGCCAAATGCCAACGAGATGTACAGCAGTGACCCAATGTCCATAGGTCTGGTACCGCGGAGGTTGTTGGCGACCTGTGTAGCAGCGAAGGCGAAGAAGAGGAAGAGGAAGGTGCCGACATATTCACCCGCGAAAGAGATGAAGAGATGGCGAGCTCTGTTGGGTAGCCACCCGAAACTAGCGAGGCGTGGCTCGCCCGGTCGATTGGGGTCCTCGGTGTATCTGGACTTCATGCCTGGCAGAACCATGACGCTATCCGAGGGGGCAGCTAGAGGTTACCAGTGTCAGTTGAGGACTGATGAATGCCACAAACGGGTTTCTTACATGTGCGAGTGCGTAAAGGTAGGTCGTAGGTGATAGGCTAGTGAGCTGATGTTGGCAGCCAAGCAGATGAGACTTAGGAATGATACGAGTAGGAAAAGGGCTGCTGAGAGGTATGGAAGCTCGTAGTAGGGCTGGGTATAAGAGGAGTTGAGGGTATGAGAGGCGTGTAGGCTGGGAAGTCGAACGAGGCAAGATATGGGAGCAGCGTGACGACACGAAGGGCGAGGGGAGAGCGCAGGCAGTCGTGAAGGTGATGTTGATGGGGTGCTTTCTAATCCATACAGATCTTGTCGTAAAGCAGAAGCTGCGAGCAGACTCGGATGATTGACGAGGAAGGAGCGGCCCATGAGCACAGTCTAGGTGACCGTAATATCTCCAGCAATATTACCTGGGAGACATCGAATTTGCCATCGCTTTGGGCAGTCTTCCTTTGTTCACTGTCCATCCATGTCTGCTTCACCTCCACTCTCGTCATTGCAGATGTGACGAGGTGAGCATGTCTGCTAAGGTCAGGTGAGTGACGGCCGTGTATAACTTTGGGAAAGGGTGAGTGCATCTATTTGCGCAAAGCTTGAGCTTCTACCACAGATCTTTGCCGCTTAAACCTTCTCCTCATGCCAATCTAGTAGATGAGTTCTGAGAGCTACAGGATATTCGCAAACTGGTTGTTTCCAGTCGGCACGCTCTGGACGAAAGCGAGGGGAGGCGGTACGCAGACCCAGACAACGCGTCGCTCATCATCAGGCACTCCATTGCGAAAGGTGAAACGAAGTCATGGACCATTATGACAACGCAGACGTGGTGTTTGGTGTTTCTGACGTTTCTAGCATGGTCGAGTGCGGGGAATGGCATGCTTGGCACTCATCGCGCGCACGCGCAGCTGCCCGTGCCCCGATTGCACCAGGGTCTCGCATCACGACATCATCGGGCGCCCACCAGCCTTTC